GAAGTATCAACAGCGTATCGCGTGTTAGCGGTGAACTCAGACCGTTGGACGCTCGCGTTACTTCCTCTCAAATGCTCGGAATACTCATCGATCGTTTGAGCTCTTCCGATCAAGCTGCGCTTCCCGTAGCGGTTCTAAAGCTTGTAGGATCACAACCGAACGAAGACTGGCCCGTGCCCCTGGGAAGACCCAAGTGCGAAGAACGGAATTCCGTTTCCGAATCGGTTGTCGAAATCGACCGGAACCGAGTCGATACTTCCAGATCTCAGATTCGGGGAACACGGATCGACTACCGATCCCCGAACGCGCGATGTATGCGCTGTCGTCAAGGGGTTGTACGATCAAAAACGAAGCCGGCGATAGAAAGTAGTGTCTGAGCAATCATGTCCGAATGAGCCAATGTCGTATCCGAGAGCCCCGAAGGATGCGACTGGAAATTCCAGTGGCCGATATTCCCGAAATAAGTGAAGTGAGCCGAAGCAGCGGGTCTGAGCTCGATAGCTCGCGTTCGAGGGATGTCCGCGCCTAAATCACAGTAACACCTTTTCTCTTTCACTGCCGACTTCAAGGGCTTGGACTATTTGGTGCTTCCAGCCCCCGAACCTGGGGACGCCACATAACCCGACATCCCTGCCGAATTCTCCGTATTCTGCATCCAAAAACTGCCGTCGAGAAAGCCGCGTGGATCCAGGTTAGGGCGATTATTTTCAATTTTTCCCTTCACGAAACGTCAGAAGCTCAAGAGAGAGCTCCACGAGTAGTTTCGCTCGGGCTCCGACCAGATGATCACCAGTGATGCTGATTGGCACCTACGATGGGCTCCACTTGGAGACCAAAACACCAAAAAGATTTGCGGGAAAAAAAGTTCGACTCGCTCCGCACAAAAAATGTCCTTCCTCTTATTGGGTCAGAGTTCTGATTCAATTCGATTGAATATAGAGCAGACGATTTCTGTTCCGGTGTTTGGAGGCTATCATTTCGCGGCCGGGATTGTCCCAGAAATACTTGCTTCTCTTTGTGAGTCGCCATTTTTGGGCTTTGTCGAGCCATGGCTCAGCCCGGCGACACTTTCGCTTACCCTGGTGGAGCAGCTGATCATCGATGATTCTGGTCGGTCGGTCGGCGCTCGGGCTAGACAGTCACAACAAGAGCATCCGACGGCAAGTTAACTCCACCCGCATATCCACGACATCTGGACTTCGATTCGAACCCTTCCCATCCGTCCCAGATACTTGAAAAGCCTCACGACCGCTGCACTTGTAAACCTGTAAAATCTGATCGACAGCGTTGTTTACTTCTGTGATTTCGCTGCCTCACTTAGCCGAGCAACTCTTTAAAAGCCGACGTGGGCGTACAAGAACGCATGAGAAATAGAAAAGGCGAAAGAAGAAAAAAAACAATACACGGAAGGGCGGGCGATTTGTTGGTCCGACCATGGCGACCCGTCGTCGGTAGACTTCGTACATGTCAAATCCGCTGTGTACATATATCGCTGGAATCTGCTCATTAATCATTGTTAGTTCGGACCCGATGAACTAGTTATCTTCGGAGATTGGAGCTAGAGATTCCACGCGATATTCATCAACTCATGCGTACCTGGACGATTCGATAGCTACATATGTATAGGCATTGATGGGAAATCTCAGCGGCTTGAGCTGCAGAATTCGAGCTCTGCTCATTGATCGAGAATCGAGCCTCGACCCATCAGCTCAGAGGAGTGGGTTGCGGTGGGAGAATGTTTAGTGCCCCGAACTTGGCCTATCGTTGAAGAAGACAATCCTCGACCTCCCGAAAAATCGACACGACAAATCTTCAGCGAGGCCCGACGAGCTGAACGAGCGTCCTCACCATTGGCGGACCGCAATTTTTTCCCGAAAAATTCTGGGTTACGTCGTTGTGAGACCAGAGAGGACTGACAGAATTTCCCCGGAGTTCTCATTCGTATACATCTGTCGAAACTCCGGAGAGCCAGTAGCAAGACACCAAGTAAATCGTCCCAGATGGATGTCGGTGTGAAATTGCAGTACGAGCGAGCTACGGACGCACAGCGAACAAGCGGGAAGCAGCGGAAAAATCAAAAGTTCACAAGTGAAATCACAGATACACTCCAGGTCATTTGGCTCGTCGCGGATTCCGGTCAGCGCCGCTTCTCCACCAACACAAAAGGAAAGATCAAGTCGTGATATCAAAAAAAGGTCAATATAGACTCCGTTAGCGGTTCACAAAGTCAGAACTTTCACCGCACTTTCACGTTTCGTGTTTTGTTTGGCCCGCCGAAAGGGAAGGATTCTCAATCGGGTGAGACCTGAACACAAATAGGAGAATTCCCCCCCTGGATATAAAACCTTCAATCTTCGAAAATCTTCGGCTCCTGCCGCATGGCTTCTCGCGCCCAGCGGCAATAATGTCGCGAGAAACAAATCTGGGATCACGCACAGAATTCGGGGCAGCTGGACGTTTGTCAAGATGTCAGGGAGGGGCTCGAGCCGAGACCTACGCAGAAATAATTGACGATAACGGATTGGATACTAATCACAGGTAGCCTCTCACTCAGTCAGTCTAACAATCGTTCGGAGGCGGAAGTTTTCCCCGCGCGCGAAGATGCACAAGCGGCGGATTCTATGCGGGTTCTCTCCTCGATCGCTGGTCAATCAACAGCGGGGGAAACGAAGTAGCGTCGAGGAAAAGATGCACGGCACAACGACTGAGAGCCCGGGAAGAAGATGCAAACGCCAGAAGAAAGTGTTCCAGAATCTGAAACAGTTTTCCATCAGTTCCCGATAGCTCACATCGTTTGCACAACGGCTGCCGAACGTCTTCGGTTTCTTGATTCGCTTTGACGCACGTCACTCACTCACACTCAGCGCTTGATGGATCCTTCGCGTTGTTGGTGTTTGACATTCATTCACAAAACAAAAAGAGAAACACCGAATTCCACATTGTGTATGATCGTGTATGTTTGTTGATTTTCAAGCTCCTTGACAAGTTTCTCCTAAAATCGTGGATTCCGACGGACAATGCACAGTCGAGACCTGTAAACACACAAACAGAAAACTGTGGTTCAATTTCTGACCCGGAATCCGTATACGAGGAAGCTCGCTCGTCGCCACGTACCTCAGACTGTCAGTTGCACCAGATAGAGGAGACCGAATTCTTCAAAAATTTCGGGGTTATCTACCTGCTTGATATTGGACCAGAGTCCTGAATCTTGAATCAGTACTTAGTTCGCTTCTTCTGTCCGGCACTCCCTAACACTTCGTTCCCTAAGTCTATTTCACAGGAATGGAGAAAGAGATAAAAAGTGAAACCGTTAAGTAGCGCCGTCGGTCTCGTCGGTGTCCGCTTTCTTTCGATTTCGGACATCGGGAAAAATTCGAAGACAGGCCGGGTTTTTTCTCTCATCGACCCAGCTCTACTTTCTGCTCCCATCATGCATCATCGTCGTCATGTCCTGAGATTCTCCCCGAGAGGAATTCCAAAGTTAGCACCGTGGACGATCTCCCAACTTAGTTACGATGACTACGATGCAAACGATTCGGACTTTTTCCCGAAACAAATTGTGACATGCCGCATCGAAGCTGCCTGTGAGTGTCTGCCCGTGGTGCGATGTCGTAACGACGCTATGTCGCTTCTCAGAATCCGAGGAATGCCCCATGAAAATATTCTCACGCCCCGACTTCCTACTCGAATGATTGTTTCGGGTCAATATCAACGACTCTTCCTCCCATTCTTCCCCTCCATCAGTTTGTGTCATCCATTAGTTCTATGAAGTGTTAACAATATTACGAAAGAGGAGACATCACCGGTTTTTCCAAAACCATATTAGAAGCTGCTCTCGGTTCCCTCCCTTCCAGCGATCGATTTCCGTGCCTTTCCGGCGGATGGGTTCGACCGATCTCGAATCAATGGATGGAGACCATCGATGGGAAGTTGAACGAGCGGAGAAATCCACAGTGGTGGACCTACTGGAAGATACCTCTGGAACACGAGTGAACTGCGCGCGCTGTGACCTGCAGTCGCAAGTCTGAAGTCCACAGCCTGTCAGAAACCTCATTCGCCGCGTTTCGAAGTGACAACAATCGTTTGTCAATCTTTTTGAGAATTTTTCGGAATTTCTAGCTCTTCGATAGCATCCTAACGGTGTTCGATTCCGTTTTCTTTTTCTTCCGCTGCTGCCGCCGCTGTCGCGCCGTCGACATCTTCGTTGTTGTACGCCTCCTCTCCAGTAGCGGTTCTTCTCGCTGACAGGTTTCGCGTAGCTTTATAAAACGTCTCGGGTCCGGGGCTCGAGCTCCAAAGCTCTCATCTTTATTCAAACACTCACAGCTCGCGGTGAGTGCTCTACAATACTGTGCTCGAAGATGTGAAACAACAAGTTTTCCACAATCTAGTGCTTGTTAGTGTGTAGCCGCATCGCAACTTGCCTTTGCCACGGATTTTACGTGCGCGATACCGTTCCTCCGTCTCAGATCTCGGGTAGCACTTGGGTTGAGGTCTATTCCATGGATCGTCGAAATCTCTGTCTATTCCCCATCTCGCTTTCCCTGGATCCTGTATCCAGATATTGACATTCGGATTCATGAAATTCAATGATTGATCTCCTCTTTGGTGCCCAAGTTTGCATTCGTAACCGAGTTCGCTTTGTGCCAAACTTCGCTCTGACACGTTCGTCCACGACGCATTGGATATTACCTGTGACGAATCTACGAAAATCTACCGAATATGCAGCTTTCTCCTTCTTTGCATCCGCATCAGTGATTCCGTTGAGGCAACTGTTTGTGATGCTTTACCTCAGAAGCGCAGCGAGAAAATCCCGCCGAGGAGAAAGAATCGCTCACTTTCGCTCTTACCGTCGATCGTGCATCAAAACTACATGCAAGGCGGTTGTTTCTTGAGAAATACCTCGAATCAACCGATACTCAAGTGCATGGTGCGTTGACATCTTGGCGAGAAAGTGATTCCGACTGAAAGAGAATCATTGCTTCGTTCCAGCGGGCGCGATGCTTTCCTCACTTTCTTCACCGCTGTACTTTCTAATACTCGCCCTTGCATCGAAATTGAGTCCCGTTCGATCTCATGGACGTCTCATGGAACCACCATCAAGGTAGGGAACCTTCAAAAAATCATCGACCTCAGACCTCTTCCAGGAATCTTGAGCTTTTTGTAGTAACCTGGATGTATCCTCCATAAGAGTCCCTCTTTTACCCTTAATGTAGATCCTCCATGTGGCGTGTAGGCTTCAAAACCCCTAGGAACTACAACGACAACGAGCTTTTCTGCGGCGGCTTCACGGTAGGTTTCCCGGTCCTCTTACCATCCTCAGTGAATGCACTGTCAAATTACCACGAATTATACGAACAAGGTCGTCTATACATTTTGTGAGAAGGTGCACAATGCGAGAAAATGTGCTCTGGACGGTATATAAAGATTTCTGGCATTGCGCCTTCCTGCAGCGGCAACTTCGCAATGGAATGAAGTGTGGAGTTTGCGGTGACCCGTGGGATGTCTCACCTCCGCGAGCAAACGAGGCCGGTGGGAAATACGCCACCGGGATGATCGCTCGACGGTAATACGCTGCCTCATTTCACTCGGATCGATCGCGCATCTGTTCCCATTGAGTTGCGAAAAGGCATTTGCGAGCCCGAAGCATCTAATTGCAGGTACCGTCCGGGACAGGTCATCGAAACCGCGGTCGAATTGACAGCTAATCATATGGGACACTTCCGATTCAGACTCTGCCCTGTCAACGATCCCTCCGTAAGTCGATCTGACGAGTCGATTACCTTTATGAGTTTCTCACCAGTTTTCCACACCTGGGAACGCGTCTAGAATTATTCGAGCGGGCCGGCGAAACCGCTCAGGGATCAGACGGTAGGTCAGCTGATACTCGTGCGGATATAGGCATCTGATTGACCAGTTTCCCATAATTCTAGGTGAAAGCCACCGATGAATGTATGGCCAAGTACCCTCTTAAGATCGTCGAAGCGTCGTCCAACGATCCCTACCGCTACGTCTTACCCGATCGGAAGAGCAGATACCGAGTTCGGGTGATGCTTCCCTCGAATATCACTTGCACGCAGTGTGTCTTCCAATGGACTTACACCGCCGGTACGCATATTTGACCCGAATTCATCAGGAATCCCATAAAGAGCTGGCAAAGTCTGTTTCTGAAACAAGCAACGATGATCTCAATCTATTACAGGGAACAATTGGGGTCGTTGTCCAGACGGCGTATCTCGGGTAGGATGTGGACCCCAAGAGACTTTCCGGGGATGCTCAGACATCGCCATTTCCGACGGAGCTACGGGGACAGATTCGGTGCCGGTGGGAGTGCCGTCCCGCAAGCCTTGGGAAACCACGGAGGGAACAACGGCCAAACCTGGTACAACCTTCCGCTTCAAACCTAAAACCACCCCGAAGTGGCACAGAGCCACGCACAAGTGGAACAACAAGCCTCAACACAAGAAACCCATTTATCCCCCGAAAGAAAAATATCCTTCATCACCGAAATATTGGACTAAATCCACGTGGATTACAACTTCCAAGCCAGTCTGGAGCTCGACTCCCGGTCTGGAGAAAGAAGAAGGTCCCCTACCCATGACCCCACCCCGGACTAAAATGCATGGTCACTACCCCGAACCCACGACGAGCCGACCCACAAGATACACCGAGGCCATGACTCCGAAAATGTCTTTCCCGACCACCCCACGTACAAGATTCACCCCGCTCCTCAAATCCGTTACAGGTTGGGTAGGGACGACGACGAAGAAGCCGACGACAACATCCCGAACGAGCTTGAAACCCGAGGTCGAAAACGAGATTCCGAGTAAAGCCCCTCCAAAACGCTTCTGCAGTCCGGTCGGTGTTTACGTCGGTTCCCGCAAAATGCAACAGTGGTGCGACCTCAATTGCCTACAAGCGCCCTACTACTGTCCCCGAACTCACTGCAAGTGCGCCTAGACTGCTCCTACCCAGCGAAATTCTCTATTCTCCCAACTTCCCTGTATGTCTCTCTTCTCTCTCCCTCTCTCGCTGACTCCAGGATGCTTCTTGTATATGCTCACGGCGACAGAGAGTTCAGAGCAACGCTACGAAAATGTACATAGTGCCCAGCGTTTCAACTATTTATTCGAGTGCTATTTATATCGGTGATGAGAAGAGTCGGAATTGGAAGAGAACGTCGAGTCAATGCCAATCACCAGGAGCCACGATCTAGATACCGGTGGCTGAGCTCCTCGATAACGGATCGGAGCTATCCTGGAAATCCAGTTTCAGGACGCGTGCTGACCTGAATAAATGCTGACGGATCGTAAGCCATGATCTCGTTCCTCGTTTTCGATTTGAGCCATCGAAGCCGTGGATTCAGCCAGGAATCGGATTGGACGCGACTCCTCACAGCGGAAAAGTTCATGTTGCCAATGACCCAAAGAGTATCGTCCAGATGAAGCTACGACTGCTCCAAAAGCTATTTGATTCTGCTCTGCTATCGCTAAAGGCCGAAACAGCGCCAGCGGCAGAGTTCCCCCTCCTCGTCTTTGAAACTCGGACTTTCACGCAAAAGGGAGTGTTTCGCAAATATTTCCAAAGCGAGAAGCGAGCCGACCATTCGGTTTTGATTTGTGATCTCGTTGTTTATTCTACTCTTCGCTCGAGTCTCATCCTTCTGACGACGCGCAACGGCGGCGCGCCATTGCAACTTCGAGGGTCCGCACGCCGGAGAGTTTCGGAGTATGTAGTTGTTGGTGTCAAAGCTTTGCGGTCCCTCGGCATACAGCCCCGAGCATCGAGCGGTTGACTTGAACAACCAAAAGATGACGTCGCTTTCCGGTGAGTGCGCTCTGTCAAACTCGACCGAGTTTTCGAACGGGGTGAGGTGGTTCCAGCACCGGGGCTGACAATATTCGGATCCGATCTCCACTTACGCGCTCGGGCGGACGGGATCCCTCCCTCGAGACGTCACTCACGTCCTGGAGCGAGTGGATTCCTCGGATGACACCTCGTCGAGCTCCTCGATCTTTGCGGAGCATTCTCGAACGCACTCCCGGACCCGCTCCACCAGGAGTCGAGACCGCGAGTCCGGTTCATCAAGCGCGGAAACTAGATTGGTTTTGACATACGCCCACATTAAGGGAAACGCGTTACTTCACCGGGTACAAGAGTAATTTGCATGAATGCCGGACCCACCCTCTCGCTAAGCTATTTCCTTTCCGTAAACATATTTGCCTTGCACACCTGCGAGTTCACAGAACACCGGTCCGGAAAAAAGCCGGAGCATACGATGCCATCGTTTGATTATCGTCGAACTCGATCAACGGGCTAGCTGCAGCAATCTAGATTTTGTGCGGACACTCGCATGCAACCGCTTCTATGTTTGGCTTTCGTCAGCGTACCGCTGCGAGAAGGAAAACGCTCGGCGGGGATTTTCGACAAAGACTCCGCGCGTATTCCTAATGGATTTCGCGGATTTTTTTTAGCGCCTGACGCTTCCAGTAATGCGCATGCATGGGGGACACCAGCCCTCGTCACCTGTCGTTTGACCGGAGGGTCTACGCACTAATGTCATAACGCAGGAGCAAAGATTACTCCACCAGCTTGGCTTGTTAATAGGATTTCCTACTCAGCGCATATAAAAGAATTTCAGCTCTCAATTTCGTTCGGCCCCCACCTTGCTCCTCATCGAGCCCCACCGCCTGACGCCCGACCCATGACTTCCTGTTCCTTTTCCATCCTCCTTCCCTCCTCTAAATACCGTCACCGGGGTCCGCCAGCTCCCACGTGCGTCAAGCTTGACAGCTGATGTCCACCTGGCCAATATCAACCTGTTCCTAAGCTCGCTATGCCTCGCTTGCAATATAGGAAGCGACCGTCGCTACGGCTCCGGGGAACTCGCCACACTTCTCCCTCGAAGGCCTTAACAAAGACGGAGGTGGGGAAGCAGCTCATTGATTTTGGCATAGCGCTCTGAAGTGACGGAAAGTGGATTGGTGGCACGACGGGATTAAGTCGATTTACTCTAGCCTCCACGAGATCAACTAGCTGTCGACGAGCGCAAATGAGAGTTTGCTGTCTCTTATTCAGAAGCCGGAGAACAGGATTAATATAGAATTTTCGGACCTGTGCTTCCGAAACGAAGCTCGAGCGTGATGGAGGAAGGAGCTCGTCCGGGAGCCTCCCGCATTCCGCGAATTCCATTCCTTACGCAACAGCAATTGATTCCTCTCGAAATAGTTTCCAAGCTGCAATCGGTCGAAAAATCAAACGAACAGGGAGATGATGAGCACCCCCGAGCTCCGTCCGCTGTCGAGACTTTATAACTGCTGGCGTGCCGAGTTCAGATTCTATTGAGGCTGAGCCGGCCGTCCTCATTAGGAATGTCCCATTGAAATCTCCCGATTCTGTATTTCGTATCGGCTCCAAGCCGCTTTCGATTCAGGTTTTGGGGGCAGCGACGTCGACGGCAGCGGCAGGAAACGATATTGTGAGCTCGTTCGTTCGATTCCTAAAAGCGAATACCTTGAACCAACAATCGCTGCTGTCCGACGAGGGAGTGCACGGGCGACGGCGCGGCGGCGCTGGGCGAACCCTGGAACGGTGGTGGGGTGCGGGCGGGGAAAATCAGTTCAAAGTCCTAAGTTGATCGGAAGTACCAAGTCATCCGAGAAGCAATCACAGTCGATGTGTTCTCGTTTAGCGACAGGAAATCGAGCTGCGAACATCAACATCCGGACCAAGATGTCGGGCAGAGAGCGAGACGCTGTTCTTATTCCTGCGGCCATCAAGTAGAGGGAACCTCGTGGCTTGAATTGCAATTCAAATGAGGTCAGAATCAACTCGTAGCCACACGCGTGAGTCGCACCTTGGAACTCTTTGCGGTCGGGCGTGGAAGAAAAAACTCTTTCTCCAACTTTTCTTCCCCTTCAAATCGACGAGCGGCTCTTTCCGACGCAAGACAACCGCATGGCGCCTGGGACTCCTTGCTCATGAGTTTACATGGGGTCCGAATCCCGACGAATTGCCCACCAACGATGAATCGCTTATCGCCAGGAGTAGATTATCGTTCTCGATGTGCCGACGCCGAACCTACGAATCGTGGCTTGGGTGGGGGAATCCGGATTTCCAACCCACACAACACACCGCAGAATCGAGGGAGGGAGACGTAGGAATTCAATCCATTGCGCCAATAAGCGACGGAGCGCTTTTTCGCAGAAACATTCCCTCCGAGCATTTGTCCATCTCCGGGCAGACCAGTCGTTCTCCCGTCTATCGCAGCGATCGTCTACTCTGATCTATTGGACAAGTAGAGATAGGCGAATGGACACTCAGCCGGTTGTTGGCCTGTTCTCCTCTCGATCCAGGGCACCGGCTGAAGACAATGATCATTGCTTAATTCCGAGAAGGCATCGGCAAACTCTCTCAAGGCCTCGTCCGTTGACTGCTTTTCCGCTGCTCCCGAAAATACTCGCTTCGATCGACAGCCGACCGGTGCCCGGATCGCTCGCTGACCAACCAGCGCAGTGGCCCGGAAAATCCCTCAGCTCGTAAGAAAAAGCATCAGGCAAATTTTGTAGTCCTCTTCGGATGCTGCACTGATCCTCCCGCGTACGCAAACGGGACAGGAGGTTGGTCCAAAGAGTGCTTCGCGTGAGAGTCCTCCTGGTGGATCCAACCCATCTCGCGAACCTGTCCCATTTCCCGGATGACGGCGATTCCTCAACCTTCCCACATGGAAGCACCGTCAGAATCCGAGCGAAATTCGACTCGACTTCGGAAAGGAGAAGTCGAAATTAACGTTGAACTTCCACGATTGGGATCCGATTGAGTCAAAAACGTTTTTCCGTATCACGCCAGAAAAAAACGTCCGGAAATATATTGATTCGAATCTGAGCTCGACGCAGCTGTGCACCAGAAAAAAAACGCCCCAAGAATTCTTCGAATCCCCTCCCCACGGCTCAGGTCGGATAGCTCTTTCAGTCCTCCAAACTCAGCTCTCGGGATAGACGAACAGCAAACAGGAGAGGAATTGTGCAGGGAGACCAGAGCTGGATAGGCGCCGTTCCCCAGACCAACTGGAGGCACTGAGAGCTGACAACACGAAGCTCCACTCGAGTTCTTGCAAGCCCCCCAGGTGAACGAGCGGTAGGGCTCAGCGTGATAATGGACCTAGTCTGAACTTCGCGATGCCTCCACTCGGGAGTCCGCCGAGGGTGGGAGCAAGGCAGCTGTAGGACAAAGTGGCGGTTGGAATTGCCCGGAACCGTGATCCCCCTGTCGCCTAGCGAATTTCCATTCCAGCGGTGCGAGAACGGGGCCTATCTTCAGTCTATAGTCAGCTTGCTGATCTCTAAACTCGTGGAAAGCGTGCCGCGAATTCCCAGACCCTGGAGCAGCTTCAGTGACCCGATTAGGGGCGAATGCCGGACAAGTCCGAGGGGGAACCTCGCGAAAACGGTCCAATCCAAAGCTTCGACGTCTTTGCGCCTGCGTTGCTTGCAGAAGGCAAGGCTGAGTGAGATAGTTTTGATAAGTCTAATGCGATCAGAAAAGACTGAGCTCTATGCCGCGTAAATATTTGACTCGAACCACGACGGTACTCCATTCTCATTCCCGTTCTCTGCTTACCAACTACACACCAACGTCTCCCGATTAGTCAGCATCACATTCTTCTCCTGAAGCGAACACGGCTTCCAAACGAGTTTCCTCCATTCGAGATTTCGACCAAAGAGGAAATTCCAGATCGGCTGGGCTGTCGACCGTGGAGAGCTTATCAGCCGAAAATATCAAGAATGGAACCTCGTACTGCCTCTGACAATCATTAGGGGCGGTCATTGGAGCCTGGCGAAGTCATCAGGCTTCCCGAAGGCCTCGATGTCGGATCAGAGAAACAACAAAGATGCGATGAGGAGTAACAAGCAAATGCTGAGGGGATATAGAGACGACTGACGCAGCTTTGCCGACGCTTTTTCAATTCGAAAGCCTGGAATTGGATCCCCCGAGCGAAAGACTGGTGGGAGGTCTGAGCTGGAGTATTGATTCCGTCCTGATCGAGGAGCGATGATCAGACTGCGAAATTAAAATTTGGGACCGATCGCTCTGCTGGGCATTCTGCGGGAGATCGCGTGAATTAGCGACAGAGACGGAATGACACGTTGACGGCAGGCGAATCATGGCTCATGAGTCATGACTGAAAGAAGATTCTCGTACATTGGGTCATCGGGGAATCAGAGGATGGGACACTGTTAGTATCAACGGCGAGCGAGGGGAGCGTGTATGGATGGAATCGATGGATTCAATATACCATGATGTCGTGTAAACTCCTCCTGAATAGGGAGCAAAAGGCCTCAAATCCATCGAGTGGATGTCCGCGGAGTGACCCCCTTCTCCACAGATCGATTATGAATGCCGAGAGGGCAAAACCAATCACCAGGCTAGTCTATACGATCGGAAATGGATTGATTCCGGCAGCTGGGAAATGATGCAAGTCATCCGGCTGACTGTAAACGAGACCATTCCCTGAGGGTGTCCCGACTCACAGGCATCCGATGCATTCATCCCATGCGCAAGTTTGAAAAAAAATCAAGCTCAGCAAGTCAAGTTGAGGATAGCGAAGGGAGAGAAAAGCATGAATCATCATGTTTCAGCCTCGGTTCTAGGACTCGGAAGCCGATGAGCGGAGCACATCGAGAAAGATAGAAGAGCGGCAGCCCATTCTAACTCCTGCCAGATGGCAGTGTATATATATGTACTTGGAAGGGCCCGTCGTTATGTGGGATCGCTCTCGGACCAAATAACGGCTCTCTCCCGCAATCCTGGCCGTCGTTTACAGCATTGCGTGTTCGAGACGTCTGCGATTTCCGATAGATGCTGGCTAATGCGATCCGCGCACTTTCCTTCGAAATCGGAATTTCTTCCTCAGATTGAAATCGAGTAGAAAACAAGTCCAGTGCTGCTTTCGAAGATCCGGGATGATTTTCCGCTAGTAGTTTCAGACTGGATTCGAGTAGACGGACTGAGACTGGAGGGTTCATTATATTCAAATACCAATTGGTTCGACGCTTTCAATCCTCCGAATCAATTATCGCGAATCTTTCCCGACAATAGGGAAACAGGGCCGCTTTTCCAACGATCACGTTTGCTACCGAGGCATCGATGCCGCCGCGAACTGCGAATCCGTCCGCTTATCAGACACCGAGCATAGAGGCGATATACTCGGGGGGCTTGTAACGACATCTAGATCTGTATCTATAAGAAGAATAGATATCCTGAACTATTGCGAGATTGGCGGCAATAACGGATCGGTCCTGCCACCGTATCAAACAAGCTTCGATATTCGACGTGGGGTGCTGTGTCGACCGCTTCGAGGTGAATGTTCAACGGTCACGTCATTATATGGGGCTTCGCTGCTGGAAAGGGAATCGCCCAACAGCGATGTCATCGGCATCTCGTTCATTGTGGGCGCACAGGTTTCAATTTTCTTTTCTGCCCTTTTCTGCCTTCTCCTCTCTTCTATCTTCCCCACACCCTCGAAATCCTTCCTTCCACATCGAGATCTCCCAAGCCGGCTATGAAGAAGCGGGCTCTAGACATCGATCCCCATCCGCTTTCTCGACCGCCGCGCCTGGGGAAGAGTGAGCGTTCCTCAAGTGAGAACTCTGGCTTCTAATCTCGAGCGAAATGAAATCCAGTCCGCGACCAGGGGGAACTGGGGAGAGCTAGGGGGACTGAGGAGGACCAGGGGCCACGCCGTGAGAGTCGGCGACACGATATACGTTTCTCCCAGCCAGCCTAAAAGTTGAACCCTCTCGCTTGCAATATTCGACGCTATGCGCAGAAAGGAATTTTCCTAATGGGAGTCGTGTAATTCCAAGAAACGCGCCTGACGACAAGAAGCCTGCCCTGGAAGGAGCACGCGTTGCGTGAGAGGGAGGTGGAAAGCGTAACCAATAAGCGCGTCAGATATGCATCGCTTTCACAGAGTGTCAACGCGCTTCCTCTTGGTAACTATCGTTGAAGAATGCCCCCGCGCAGAGGCGGGTGCTCCGGTGCCTCCACGGGCACACCAAATTCAGCATCGATTCGAAGCTCCGACAAGCATCACCCGCCGGGTTGAGTTCCGTGAGCGAGTTCTCCGACAGGAGAGCTGCTCCGGGCTGCGTATATGGGCGTTCCGGACTGGAACTTTGGAACGAAAATTAAACGTTGAGCGGTGAATGTCATACCGGGAGGTATGAGGAACTTGACAAAAAAGTTGGGGATGGCTATATCATCGCCCTCGGAACCTCATCCGGCTTCCTCTTAGATAACGAATTATTCCTCCTGTAACAAGCTAATTTTGAGACCAACGATGCACGCCAGATCACGTCAGAGACTGCTCTTTGCAGCCAGCATTTATTGGAGATGGTGGTTGGAACGCGCTCCCCCTGGGCGCGCCATTATTTAAATCTGTTACACCTCCTTTCAGGTTTCGACGCCGCGGGGGGAATACACCTCTTTCAGAGTCGGTATCGCCCTTCTAGGGCACCTAGGAGCCTCCCAATTTCTCGCGCACGACCCCGGTCGGAACCTAGAAACTGAACAGCCTGCTATCGATACTCCTGTTGGGAGCGCCTTGTCGACCCCGTCCCCGCTCCCGGTGTGGTCCGACGCGACGCTTAGGCCCGGGGGCACGGATTAAAGTTTTAAGTAAGGCCAAAAAGGAGCGCCATTCTCAAGATTCAACGGTAAGAGACAAAGAAAAATGTGTTCGAAACTTTTTAATAAGCGTCGACCGTCGTCCATGTGGATGGCAAGCATTTTATCCAGTTATCGGAACACGCTCGGAACGCGCAAAAACTGATCGGCCATATCAGCCTCCGAACCGTTTTTCTCTCCCTCCGTCTCGACGTAGATTTCAGCACGGGAACATCCCAAATATTCTCCCCTGGAAGCCAGAGGGAAAAAAACTGGAGTTCCAAAATGAAAGCAGATTTTATTTCTTCTCTCCCTCTGACAGAAATAATGAAAATAGAACAATCGGAAGGGGCAGCTTCCTGTCATTCATACTATTCTACCTAAATAACTTATTAGGGAATGCTGCTTTGACCGAAGATCGTCTCGACAGACGCATGCCTTCGATAGATTTCGCCAAGTAAGTACAACAGAATCCCAAAAACTGAATCCAATTGAGATTTGAGAAATATTATTCTAGGGCTTTGAAGAAACGGAGGTCGTCGAAGAAAGAAGTCGTGCGATATTTGTGTCCCTCAGCGACCGAGACCCCATCTGCAGAATGGTGCATCGAAACGTTCGGTCGGAGATTCGCTTTCGAGAATTGGAGGATAAAAGAATTCGATTGAAAGATCCTCAGGTCAGAAATTTCCCCCAGCCCTATAAATTACTGGGGCTAAGAGGCTTTTTGCTATTGAAAGTACATATCTCTGAGAGAAAGACATCATTCATTTCCATTGTCGTCTCCATTATTTCATCACATTTGGCACACGTGGCACTTCTTATTGGAGCACGCATCATATTTACAGCTTCTTCTCTAAATTTGCATTCTCTCATCTGCCTCAAAAGTTGCTTCCTAAAAATCCTAACCAGACGCTAGATATGGTACATGATTTACAGCGCTAACATTTTGCGTCGGAGCGATTCTCCCGCGAGCGGGCATCGCTCATGATTCGACGGCCGAGCTTCCTGGCAGAGTCGTAGGAGTCGGAATTCTCCTTCTCAACCCGTTTCCCAGGAGAACTCGCGATAATCCTCGTCATACCTCGGGTGTTCTATGTACAGAAACTAAACATTCAGCCCAACGGATAGCAATCTGTCAGCCTTCACAAAAACGACCTCTGACTCTGACTGCGTTCAAAAATGAGTGAATGAAGGTCGAGGGGATTGTCGAGGAAATCCTTCGACTTCACTTCAAATGTTCGATGGTTGCATGTAGATCTGCGACGAGGTCATCAACTTGGGGTTGTGGCTCGGCTGTGGGGTGTAAGTGTTGCGCACGACGCTGGCCGCCTCGAAGGTGTGGCCCGGCGTTTTATTGAAGATCACCGTATGCGCGGGAGGCATGGGGAGCTGCGTCCATGCGGAAACTCCCATCGGACCCAGGTTCCCGGGCCGTCCGGTGCGAAGTTGCCGCCTATCTCGGCGGCGAAGTAAACATCATCTGATGACGAAAACCGCTAGTAAAACCGTTGCGATGCCTACGGCGATCAGCAGCCACAGACCGTAGCCGCAGTGGAGGCACGACGCTGAGTCCGAGAACGCAACCTCCTCTTGATCCTCGGGACGCACGACGGGGTCTGTGGAGTAAAAGAGAGAAAAACGTTATTCACGCTTAGAATGAATGCGACCGGACGCAAACGGAAATGAAAAGAAGCTCCATCAACTCGTAAAGTCTCAGACACATCGCCGCAAGATTAATTGATCCTTGCAGAGCCTATGCAAAAAAAACGTTCTCCTCATCAAGGAGCGGATCTCCCGAGAGGAATAACCGCTCAACTCAAAATAAGTCTCGGGACTGAATCGTTTTCCCGAAGTCATCCGAGATGAAGCTCAGCCCCCGTTTCCGCGAAATCAGTACAGCGATGATTGGAGTTCATGGAAGAACCGACCAGGATTTCCTTCTCTCTTCTCGAGAAGAGCGAGAGGGAAGCAGAAATATAAATTGAAACCGTCCCTTATGGGTGTATTTTCCTCTGGGAAGTCGTCAGTAGGATCTGATAAACTTACATATTTTATTGAAGCCCCCGGGAAACTTGTCCGTCTCCTCGGTAGTGAAAATTCGAGATTCTGGCAGTTTCGGTCGTAAGCTCGGCCGTAGCGTTCTGAACACGGGATTGTACGAAACCGTCGTCGACGCTGCCATGGGCGCCTCCGATGACGCGGTAGCTTTAACGGGCTGGCTCTTGCTCACACGTTCTTCTGGAAATGCAAGCATAGATGATCAAGGACCGCTCGTGGAGTCTCCCGAAATTTTGGGGGAAATCATGTTCAAATCGTTCCGAGAAAGGTTCTACTTGTGGGATATGGGTCTCGGATTTGAACCCCGCCTATGTTTTTCTGTTTTCAAACTCCCCCGCCCCGCTTCTCGTGATTTCCACACGAAGAATTGGAAATGATCTGGAACATGGTGGACTGAAGCTCTGATTCGACTCAGCTCGGGTAACGGCGACCAAGATACACTAGGTTAGGCGAATAGCTGTCAGATTTTTTCTTTTCTCTCCGGTGGAAAGTGCTCCGCTTCTCCCGTGAAGAGAGCTGTCAATTAGACGGAGACACGTGATAGTGAAGCGAGATGTGGGGAGGATGAATCCCTGAAGAATCTCTCTGCTGAGGCCCTATGGCGGTCTCCGTTCGAATCATCCCTAACGTAAGTAACGTCACTGTCGGCTCCTCACTTCTGAATGCTCGCTTATATAATAAATTATAGAAGATCTCCACGGAGGCTCAACTGTCTGACAAGCCACCCCCGGGTTTTGCGGATTACGGAAAAGAAGGCGAACGAGAGAAGTTAAGAGAATCGATGAGGGCTGAGCAAACCTACCGAAATCTCTGCAACAGACTTTGAAGGTAACTTTCATGTTGTGCTGCCTACACGCGCCCCCGTGGTCCTGATGAAGACCCCCGGGGGTACCGCTAGAGGTCGATATGAGGTAGTAGTCTTCACCGGGTTTGAATTCCTTGCCTCCTGGCTGCGGCGTGAAAGATCTGCGGACGGAGAAGTCTCCCAATCAGTCTTCCGCTACGGTTATGATTAGACAACTAGGAAGGCATCGATTGCAATGGTCGGAGAAAATACGATTCCAATGTCGACAGCCAACTTACCTGAATGTTATTGTGTACTTGAGTGCTCTGCCCGCGTTGCCGTCGCATTTCGCAACGAGATTCGGGTTGTCTTTCCGAGAAAGAGTGCAAGTTTCATACTCTTGTCGGGACACTAAATATATTAGATAGGTCTCCATCTCTGACGGGGGGGTCCCGACTCGATAGTGGGGACATATCAAATCCAACTGGAAAACGAGATATCGATTAAGTTCCTCTGACCGGAGACAATGGTGAGCACGTAGCGGGTATCATAAATTTAGGGACTCTGAAGTGATGCTTCAAATCCTCCTCGCGGAGAGCCGTGGACGGAGAGGAAGCTCACCTGGTCGAACTCGAAGTTCTGATTCCCTCGATTGACGTCGATAATGTGATCCGTGTTGTCGATCCGGAACCTGTGGGCAAGATGAATGATGAATAATGATTTACGGAGTCGCACAGCTTCGAGTCATCAAAACATGGAACTCATGGAGCGATAAATATGTGGAGGCCGATTTCTTCAGCCACGAAAGTTTCACGGAAAGCATCGGATTCTCGAGAATAGCCGTCGAAGCACCCAGAGTACCTCTGAGTAGAGGACCTTCCCTCCCCTATATACTCTGAATTCAAAGGCAAATTCGTTCTCATAGAGTGCCCCTCTTTCATTTGACGAGTACTTCAGGCGGAAAATAATATTTCATTGTCTGCGGTCCGTCATGAACCTGGTTCCTTCCGAAATCGCAGGGTGTTGTTATAAGGGAGAAAAGACTCGGAGGATCAATAGATCGTCATCGTCAGGAGGTTAGCTGTGAGTTGGAACCGAGGTGCTCAGGGATTGCCTCCGTCAAATTCCTCCTTGAAATGATTCGAGGGAATGATTGGCGAAGACTATGCAGCGGGCGAGGAGAATTGACGGGGAAGCCAGCTCCCGAGAGCGCCATCCCGGACATATGACGCTCTCATTTATACGGGACCGTATTCAGTATTGGAGAAGCATCTGATCGCTCAGATTCGAATGAGGAAACGATTCCAACCCGCGGCACGCTCTGACGTTTCGCCGCCATCTCCGTTCCCTGACACATCTCTGAGAAAGGAAAAACGCTCAATATTTTTCCTCGGAATCGCTTTCCTCGAAGCGTGTGTACGGGCTGAGCCGCCGGTAGCTTCAGTCGGCTGCTAATGACCGTGGGGGAGCATCCATCAGGGAAAATGGGGAATCCTGAGGAGAAGTAATGACACTGGAGAGGCGGACTACTTCGAGCGTGGAATAAAAACGCGAAGTCAGTGCATACTCGCACCTACAGGAGCCTGATCACCAAAATATGGAAGTCGAGGGGAAGAAGCTCTCCAGAAGATCAAGGCTCCTTTGGAGAAGTTTCGTTTTTTTTCATGACGCCTTCAAGATTTGGGAAAGGAAATCCAAGAAAAAGGGGGAAGATGTTACTTCCCGTGTGTCTCTTGAGTCACATCCCCCGACGAGCGTCTACTTTAGTTTTTCTCAACGACGCGTCTTCACGGAATCATTCATCCCAGCGTCGAATCCATGTGCAAATGTCGGACGACCGCTTTTCGACAGTATCGTCCTCTATAATTGTTGACTCCCCGATTTTTGCGCAACAATCGAGATTGATTGACGGGGTAATTTAAAAGTGGTTTGAACTCGTTCAATACATTAGGTCGTCGGTCGCACGATCGGCCTGATGAAGCTGATGTGAGACCAGTTTCATTAATTCTCTTTTCGCTCGCTCATTGCTTCTTCTCATTTCTCTCTCTCCCTCATACCGTTATCGTTTTTCCTCGTCTCCCTTTCTGGTTCATTCTCTAACCGAGAGTGGATCAGCTACGTTCTCCTGATTTGGAAGGAAGTAGCGACAAGCATGTGACTCTCCGTAGTCGGGGATGCTCGAGCTAATAACGTTTCCGTCAGATCGAAAGAGAAAGGCTCGAATTCGACGGACGGTCCGAGTCGCACTCCCGAAAGGAACATTTTGCGAGTTTTCCGACGTATACAATTATTGTGAACCCGTCGTTGATGTCGAGTCCGAGGAATTCTTTGGGGGACGGGACCAGCCTCGAGAATATCTGAATTTCCGAAAGCAGCGAGATCCGTAGCTCATAATGTATTCGGTGAATCTCTATTTGAATCGTTCGATTTCATAACATGACCATGGGATCCATCTGATTGGGCGCCGTGGGATGACCAGGGATCGATTACGAGAACGCGCAGGAATTCGGATGTTTCGGTGCCGGGGTCGCCGTGTTGCCCATCTCAAACCAGAAACACGATGTCTCAACCGAAAACGCGCCGCTACGATTCGACCACAGAGCCATCACGAACGCCTTAAAAAGTCGTCAGCACAACAGGTGCCATCAGAGTGGCACTGGCACAATTTACATCAAGCCGGGCGCTGCCGTTTCGCCGCCGACGATTCCATAGGAGCGCTTTTAACTTCAAAAATCAATTAAGGTCTATGTCGTCTCGCTCTGAACGCCTCGTTCGCTCGCGGAGATGCGGTCTTCCATCGGACTTTGTTATCATCTTATGAGCTCCGTCGACCATTTAAGGTTGAAACAGAAAGACAAGATATACATGAGATTTCGTTTAAGCTCTTGTGTTTCTGCTTCTTCGAGTGAGCTCCTCCGGTGCTGCAGCCGCGTCGTTTTCGACTAAAAGCGGCTCCGGAGCAGTTTCAAAGCGCTTGTTCAGTGTCAGAGAAAGAATTAGGCAGGGCTTGAATTAAACGCGGCGTCGCGACGCGAAGAATCCGGCACGTCGAACTGACTCGGTGAGCGAGCGAGAGAGCGAGTGAGTGAAGTAAGCGAGCCGAAGGGACATACGTACGTCGAGACGTTTGTACGAGGAACAAAAAAGGGGCCGAAAACGGAGCCGTGCTGCTTCTTAAGAATGAGCTCGGACCGATGGCAAGCGACGCCCTCGCACAAAATTCTTCACGACAGCGTCAACGACAGACGACCGACGACGGCGAGATCGCTTTACAACATCCTTAAGCAAGGGGAGTTTGAAAGCGTTCAGAAGACGAATCGTCTCTTAAGAGCTTTCGGTCTTCCGTCCCGTTGTTTTGCTTCTCTTCGTGCCAGGCCCTGCGCTCTGCGCTCCGGCTGACCGCCGAAAGATACAGTGCCCAGGCGCCGTCATCCGATCAAAAGACCTCGTCAAGGGGAGCCGGATGAGGAGGATTTCCGAATCAATTCCTAGAATACAGCTCGTCGGCCTTGCCAGGTACGCAATTGAGAGAGTTCGAACTTCCAATCCAATGACGGCTCGCTAGTCCCGTATTTCGTTTGACGGCTGTGCTCGCCTCGGATCCGTCGAGTTATGCTTGTGTAGATTGCATGAGCTGGTTGTCATAGGAAACTATCGCAGTCCGTGTCCTTTGACTCGAACATGCCGTTACATCGTCCGGGTGACGTACATTCATAGGTCTGGGCTCCGCAGAGGGTTTCCGGTCTCGTCGATGTCTCTCTCTCTCTCTCTCTGTCTGTCGGCGAATATCATAAAGAAGCATAGTGTTGTTCATCTCGCGGCAACAGCAGCGCCAGAAGCACATGCGAGAACGCGCACCAAGGCAGGCAGGCAAACAGGCTGGCGGGTGAGAATTCCCACTCGCTTCTCTTGTGAGGGAACTGTGAGCCTCTCGGAATGCCGCTCGCGCGTTAGAATCCGTCCGTTTGTCCGATCGTCCGCTTCCCCTCTTGTGTTCCTGTCTACGACGACGACCACAACGACGAACAACGATAGAACGACGAGCTCAACATGGGGCGCCCGGAAAGTGAGTTTCAACCACCGGCATCGAGTCACACCGCTCGCTTCTGTCATTGATCAAGAGTTTCCATTCGAGATAAGATTCAAGATAAAAGCTCAAAAGAGGGGGAAGCTCCGAGTTAGGCGTTAGACAAGATCTCCCACGCCACGCGTCCTAGGATCCCCGATTCACTTTTTTTTCTTTTGCAGAATGTCTGTATCCTCAGAGACAATGGATGTTATAGCGTCAGCTGATGCGGCATTCTTCCTTTTCCGAAACCTTCTAAAATAGTTTGGAAGAGGAAAGCAATTTCTCAAGGCTCCGATCCGCCTCGACCATGAGAGGCACTCGAAGAATGTGGAGTTGTCCCGCTGACGGATAAAGTGGAGAAGGCGAGGATTTCAGAGAGATCACGATGAGAGTAACGAGCCTTAGAGGAAGCATGTCATCGGATTAAACAATCCAACCCGATTAGCCGCCTGTTCGTCGCTCCACCATTCCGGGGATGATGTCTTTCTCACTGGATCACACCGAGGAGACCTCATGACCTCCGCTGAGAAGCGGACTGCCCATTCCCTACGCGACCCAGGATTCCCCGATCTGGGAGCCGATCGGGCTCCCGAAGGAAGATCTGATGGCTCTCGGATAGTTCCGGATTATCAGCATCCATTCTCTGGCTGGAAAGCGAGCCGCGAGACACGGAAGCGACAGTGATGAGCTCACTCGCAGGAGCTCCGATGCGTTTCTAGCTGTCTCATTCATTGTTTCGCTTTTTCCTTCCGATTTCGCGGCGTGCAACATCGTTGCTGGATTATTCCCGCAGGGACATCCGCTGACGCCTTGCCGACTGCTTTGCCTCCACTGTCTTTCGTCGTGAGCGACTGAGTCTGATTGTGCATTATCTTTTTCGTTCCTCTCGTCCACTTTGGAAACGCCCAGAACAAGGTCAACTCGATTAGCTTAAATTCGACTTCCGGCTCGGAATCCTTCCCAAGATTCGGGAGCACGACGACGACGCATTCGAGGCGTCAGACGGGTAAGCATTGCGATGAGCTCGTTTTCGCTGAAGAGTCCTTCCATTCAAAATCCTGAGGAACGTCGCGTCGGACGAACGAACGCTCCGTCGAGCTGTCATTGATGTTTCACCTTGTTCTTATGGGACAGAACGGCGGCGGCGACGCCACCACCATGGCTGCCGAGTGGCACCGCATACGGAAGCAAGTCACCGCTGCGGGTCATATCTACTCGTGCGCCGTGATTAGCGACACGCAATGGAATCACCATTCCAGAGCATTTGCCGCCGACCAATTTTCCCGGTGCAGAATCACCACGAACCCCTTTTTTTGACATACATCGCCAGTGGTAATACCACCGCTTATTTCCACGGCGGACGCGAATGCCACCCAGAAGACTCATTAGAGCTTAATTCGACATGTTCGTTTTTCTTTTCCCCCGTCTTCATAGAGCTCGGAAGAAGTCGAGCGATGCGGAGCGAGAAACAGAAGCTCATCTGGCAAATCACCGGGGTGGCTAATGAAGGGGGTGACCTTGAGTTCGAGGAGCCATGCAGTGACACAATATTTCCCCAATCGAAATATTTCCACATCCGAAGCGATACTTTAAAATTTCCAGATTCGCACTCGAGCAAGAAA